CACGTGCATAACGACTTGGTAAAATTGAACAAATAATAGAACGCTAGTCTTCGTACAAAGGAACACCAGCCAAGAAGTAAAACTACAAATAAGACTGAAGAAACCTCTGAGCTTGACACCAACACCCGTTACCACCCTCTGACACCACAACAACCACCAAAAAAAATAATGGATCACCTCCACACCCGAGCTCGACGCGACTCTATCGCTGATATGCAGCTTTGCGGACCTCCAAGGTGACTCGCCAAAGGCAAAATTATTACCGTTGAACGAATCAGACCGGGCCAACACCCCGGACACGCCATCGAACTCCAGATCTGGCAACCCCACACGACTAAGACATCAGAGGAGGAAATCATACCTGTCATCCGCGTACCGCGAACCCAACACACGATCCACCATCTTCCAGATACCGCCGGTGCATATCACAATCTGCATCCGCTCCTGGACTACCTCCCAAGCTCCGTGCTAGCGCTGAAGCAAATATCGTCGCAACGACGAAGCCCGAGGACACATGTCCACTGCGAGGATGCCGCCGCCACTGCACCATCCTTGCGTGAACAGGCTGGATTCCAAATCCATACCAAATCATATGACCGATACCTTGTCGGAGTAGGATCTGAAGAAACTTTATTGATGTTTTTTTTATTCCAAGAACATCGGATACACTTTGGATATGCATCGACATGTATACATAGCCCTGATTTCGGCAGCGTTGACCAGTACGCTACTTCTGTGCAGCCATGACCTTAGCAATGGAAACATAGAGATCCTTCCTCGCCGCCAAGGCGGCGAGCACGCGGGCCCTGTCCGGGAGGCACTGACGCACGGTCTCGTCGGCCCTGTACTCCCTCGCCCAGCGCCACAGCGCCGGGTGGTCCTCCTCGGTGAGCAGCCGCACCCCGGCCATCTCCTCGAACACTCCCATCCAGTGCGCGAGCGCCCCGCCGGCGGCGATGTCGAGGAAGCCGATGGCGTCGCCGCCGAAGAACCTCTTCCCCTCCGGCAGCTGCGCCTCCAGCAGCGTCAGCTTTTCCTTGGTCTCCGTCGCCGCCGCAGCCTGCGCCTCGCCGTCCGCCCACAGCGCCATCCACATAGGCTTCTTGCACTGCATGCCCATACAGCAGAGCTATCGAGTGAAAACCATGAAAATTGAAAGTTGGGTGCTGAATTACTGCGGTTGCTCTACCTCCTCTTCGAGGAATCGGGCCCAGAAGCGGGCGTTGGCGCGGGCGAGGGGGTCGACGGGAAGGAGCGGCGGGCCGGAGAAGGCCTCGTCGACGTACTCGACGATGACGAGCGACTCCGGGATGGAGCGGTCGCCGTGGAGGAGCACGGGGACGGTCTTGTGGACGGGGTTGTGCGTGAGCAGCAGCTCGCTCTTGTTGTTGAGGTCCTCCTCGATGAGCTCGTAGGGGACGCCCTTGAGGCGCAGGGCCAGCTCCGCGCGGTGGACCACAGGGCTGGCGAAGCAGCCGATGAGCCTCACCGGCTCCGACGGCATCGCGGCGACCTTGCTCCTCCCTTCCATGCCCCGCCCGCCTGATTTTTCGCCGGGATCTATGTGTGTGTCTAGCTCCGACCGCCTCGGTTGTCAGTTAGTATATATTTGATTCCCTCGCCAGAAACTTCACGGCAGCTTCGCATCGATCATCGAAGATTAGTGATAAGTTAAATTAGTTCGCACATGTTCTTCCACGGCCTAAAGCTAGCCCCAAACAATTGTTATTAGCTTGTGATGCTAAAAAAAAAAGCTTGTGATGGCGACACGACGTTTGAATGGTGGGCGTTTTGAAGCTTGTGGTGGCCACGTTTTGACGTTTTAAGTTGTTGCCGAAGACAATTTTCTAAAACACGTGATATTGCAGAAAATATTACAGAAAGAGACACGCTAAGAACACACGCCCAGAGAGGAGGACGCAGATCACTCGCGTGCGATCCGCCGGCTCAAGGCAAGCATTTCCCTACAAAGAAAGAATCCATGTTACAACTTTAAATTATCATCAAAATGAAACAATCTATAACTACAAGAACAAATTGCACGCGTAGGAAGGCTATAAAGTACAACATTATCAGCAATTTGCATATCCAGTTTGACCAAATGACCAACACACAAAGCATATCCGGCCAACAAGTTGTATATCTGGGCAAATGATCAACACATATAACAACTTGTTGGCTCGGTGATTTGCGCACCACTTAGCTACCGCCCGGTTAGTTGCTTCAAATGGCCACAATACTTGGACGCGACCTATTGGATGATGTACAATCAATGGTTGAGAGACTTTACCCCAGGGTTGCTGATTAGTTCATCGATGTAGGGCTTGAAATGCTTGTGCTTATGAAACCAAGTAATGTTGGCCCAAACTATTGCGCCCTTTTGCTTTGTGCCATGGATAGGACTGATGCTAGTGGCCAACCACGCATCGCACAACAATTCGTTATTCGTCATGTTGAAGCTTTCTTCTCTACCTTTCTTCTTGGATCGGCGGCAAATTCATCTAGATCAAGGTCGTTGTTGTCAACGTCTTCCTCTCCTGCTCCTGCTAGCCGGTGACCCAATCAGACTGTTGGGTGTACGTGTCGGATTGGATGTACGTGTCCGGCTTGGTGTACATGCCCGGTTCAGTGTCCGGCTGGGTGTACGTGCCCTGATGCATGGACTCCAAGTCATCCACAGGCCTGTCCTCGTAGCAGCCTCAGCCTTCATCGTGGATCATTTCAAACATCGACCTATCCACGTCAATGTACGACGGCTCACCAGGTTGAGACATACTTGCAAATAGAGTGCGGGCACCGAGCTGCTCCACGCCAAGCATCTATGTCCAAACAAGCTGTGGCGATGCAGACTCCGAGAAAAGAAGTGGCGCCTTGTTGACATCGACACAATAGGACACATGCCCGGCAGCGGATGTCGGGGACTGCTGTTACTTGTGATAATGTTGGGATTTCCCTGAAGAGGAAGGGTGATGTAGTGTAGTAGTAAAAAGTATTTCCCTTAGTTAAGAACCAAAATTTATTGAACTAGTATGACACGCGACGCAAACAAGATA